CAGTAACAGCTCTAGTCCAGCGGTCGTCTTTAAATCTCATTACGTGACCATCTCATCTGATTTTTGACACCTTGGCAAATGAGACAGCGTCCCTGATTCTTGATCGTCGACGGATGTCGGAACTCCGGATTCTTTCTCTCATTTGAGTGAAACGTGATATTCCAAGCATAGCTCTTTCTATTCTTCTTTGGGAGACCTGAATAGCGTTCTCATCTTGTTTGCGTAGGGCCCAGGTCTCTGAGGCATATGTTAATGCAGGAAGAACAGTGGAATCAAAGAGATGTGCCCGGAGCCGGAGGTTCTTCGTCCTCTTAGCTATTTCTTTGACGTTCTTGAAGGCGTTCCAAGCTGCTTTCTTCCTCCTGCGCAGCTCGGGTGCCAGGTCATTTGTCATGTTGACTTCTCGACCTAGGTACACATAGCTGTTGCATTCGGAGATGGTCGTTCCGTTGAGAGCGCATGGGGCATCAGGAACGAGGCTGTTTCTCATAAATATTGTCTTCGTAAGATTCAGCTGTAGTCCTACCTTTCCACACTCACGGTCAAAGTCGGCCAGCATTTGTGCTGCTTGGCTGATGTTTGGTGTTATTAAAACAATGTCATCAGCAAAGCGGAGGTGGTGTAGTTGCCGACCATCTATCTTCACTCCCATTCCTTCCCATTCCAGTCATCGCATGATGTTCTCTAGGGTGGCACTGAAGAGTTTCGGTGAAATGGTATCACCCTGCCGCACCCCTCTCTTGACATCAACGATCACTTCTTTGTAGAATGGTGAGATCCTGGTAGTGAATCCGCAATACAGCTCACGGAGGATCTTGATGTATTGGGCTTGAATGCCCTGATTGGCTAGGGCTTCAATGACCGCTTCCGTCTCAACAGAATCAAAGGCCTTCTTTAAATCAATGAACGTTAAACAGAGCGGCATCTTGAACTCCCGAGAAACCTCAGTGAGTTTGGTTATTGTGTGGATATGGTCGATGGTGCTGAATCCTTTGTGGAACCCGGCTTGCTCGCATAGTTGTCCTTCATCTAGTGTTCTGCCAATCCTATTTAGGATGACTCGAGTGAACAACTTGTAGATGACAGACAATAGGCAGATAGGACGATAGTTACCAATGTCATGGATGTCTTCCTTCTTGAACAGTAGTATGGTCCTGCTGGTTTTCCACTTGGACGGAACCTTGCACTCAGGTAGCGAGTGAAGAGCCGAGCCAGTGTATTGATGAGTACTGATGGCAGGTTCTTCGGGTGTTCAGGTCTGACCTTGTCTGGGCCGGGTGCTGTTTGTTTCTTTACCGACGAAATGGCGTGTCTTATTTCGGAAGGGAGAACGTTGGGAACGACATATCCATCCTGTGGAATTTGGTATGTCGGCAAGTGGACATGGCTATCAAAGAGATTTGAGTAGAAGTCATGGATAATCTTCTCCATTGCCGTTCTGGAGGATGTGATGGATCCATCAGGACGTCGGAGGGCAGTCATCTTGGTCTTGTAGTTGGCGAAGGACAGGCGGGCGTAACGAATACTTTTCCCAGCTTCTGCCGCATCTTCCAGTACTTCTGCTCTTCTCTCTTTGAGGTCTTCCTTGATCGCATCTCTGCACTGCTTTGCGAGCTCGGATGTTAGTTAGCTTGCGGTTGCCTGAGGCATGTGCCAAACCACGCTGGCGAATTAGCTCAAGAGTTTTCAAAGACAGGCGTTTTTTTGTGGCTATCTCTCTCTTGGCGTTCCTCGCACATTCATGGAGGTGCTGAACCAGTCGATTGTATTCCTCGTCAATGTTGTCAACAATGGAATCTTCCCATGTTGCCGCAATAGTGCCAAAGAGTTCCCAGTTGGTGGTCGTTCTGGGAGTTCTCTTTTTGAACTTTGCAGCCCTTTCTCCCCGCTCTGTGAAGTATAATTTTGCACGAAGGAGACGGTGGTTCGATCCCGTTCAAAATTTTGGGACAACAGTGACATCGGTCAGGCAAAACCATCGATTGAATATGATGCGGTCTCTTTCGTTGTGGAATCGTCTACCGGGAGACTCCCATGTCCAACGTTTAGATTCTGCCTTCTGGAACTGTGAGTTACCATGGATGGTCTTGGTCGACATGATGAACTCAGACAGTCTCTCACCCTGTTCGTTCCATTCTAGGCCATGGGTCCCGATGTGAAGTTCTTCAGCTGATCTTCTCGGTCCTGTCTTAGCATTAAAATCACCCACGATGATCTTGTAGAAGGTGTGGTCTTCTTTATAGAACTTCTCCAGCTCCATGTAGAACTTCTCGATTTCTCTTTCATCATAATGAGATGTTGGTGCGTAGACAACGAAGATAGAAACTGCAGGCAGTGAACCACATCTATTCAAGTGTAAACGTCCGATTTGGGTTGTTAGGCATTTGAATGAATCAATGCTCTTTGCCAAGTTTGTGTTGACAAGGACACCTATGCCTCTGACACCTCTTTTATCACATGTTCCGAGGAACAATTCTTCTCCAGTGTCAAACGGCATGGTGAGATTCGTGCCTTCTTGTCTCGGTCAGACCAGTGATGTCGTACTTGATCATTTGCGCTTGTACCATCAGGTCCTCGATGGATGCATCTGATGCTAGCGTACGTGCATTGAAAGTACAGACGATCATTTTTGTCTTCCTTCGTTGTGGCAGCCTAGTTCGGCCTTGAGATTTTGTCGGCCTCTCCTTTCTCATCCTTCTCAGTGCTGCCATGTCGGTGAAGCCTTCAGGGTCAGGTGAATGAGACCAATTTGGTCAGATAAGAGGAAACACCTTCTAGTCAGATCCATGCTAGATCTTGTCCTGAAGTACAGGAATCCCCAGGACTCTTTTTCTAGTGCCTAAATCGTACTGAATAGATACTTCTGTGCCCATGACAGTGACCTTTAGAGAAATCACCTTTAGTTACTGTGATTTATAATAAAAATATATTTGGTCTTCATCCTATTTTTGGTACAGAGCTCCTAAGAAACTTATTTCCTCAGTGTTAAGGACCTTGAAGATAGATACCTTTTACTAGCTCTATAGGGTGACTTTTGATTTGGTTTGTATTCACAGTGGTAGGGCGTTTGCCTTGCGCGTAGCCAGCCCTGCCAAGCCGGGTTTGATTCCTCCACCCCTCTCGGAGAGCCTGGCAAACTACTGAGAGTATTTAATATGCCAAATATAGTAACAAGAAGTCTCACAATGGAGACGTTACTGGGCCCGCTCGAGCAAATCGATGAACAACGGGAGGACAGTGTTTGTTTGTTTGTTTTTGTTTGGGGGGTACACCCAGAGGTGTATGTGGTCAGAATGTTGCCCAAGGGCTACTCCCAACTCTGTGCTGGGACAGGGGTCGCTTGCGGCTGTGGGGATTGAATCTGGGCCTCCAGCGTGCAAAGTAGGCCCTAGAGTAACTTGTGGGGGTGGTTGCCAGTTAGCCTGGTGGTTACAAGTCTCAGTCTCCCCCAGCCTCCCAGGAGGGAAAAAAGGCTGGAGATGGAATAGCTCACCAGGGACCAAATGGTCTCATCAAGCTTAGCTGTGTCATGAGTCACCCATCAGAGCCTGGAATATGAGGTTCTAAGAGTTGGTGGGTCGTGAACACGGAGATTTGGGGGCATGATGTTCCTGGGAAGGGTTCGGGAATGTTGCATCTCTCCCCTGGCCTGGCCTCTCTGCTGCCTGGCTGCTTAAATCATTTTGCAAGCCAGTGATCTCATATATCCTGGCTCCTGGCAGCTGCTCTGGCAAATCAGTCACACTAAAAGAAGAGGCCTATGGAAGCCTCAGATTTACAACGCAGGTCACTGGCAGGGCTTAATAGTCGTTTTCAGTCACTGTGACTTATAGCACTGTTAATGATAGGGTTTCGTGCATACCATTGCCAGTACCAGTATGATGGGACTGGACTCTTATCTCTGGGATCTGAGACAGTCTCCCAGGAGATAATTGGGATTTGTCTTTTCCCCTCTACGTACTGCAGTTATATTTGTCTGGGTGTCATGTCACATACTTGATCTTTTAAAATTTTTTTCATTTCATCATCCTGTTATTCGTCGATTGCCTCGAGCAGGCCCCAGTAACGTCTCTTTCATCCTAGCCCTGAGATTATATACAAGGCTACTTAGGAGAATGAGACCCATCATTGTTACTGGTATTTGGCATATTTGGTACGCCACGGGGAGTTTGCCAGACTCTGCCCTGTGGGCAGGCTACATTCGATAGCCTGCAAATTTGTCCAAAGTAGGAATGAGACAATAAGATGTCATAAAAAAAAGTTCTGATAAGATGTCGCGCGGCCGCAAATGCGGCCACGCGGTTCTGGGATCTGGATTTTATAGTCTTGGCCGCTGATGGGATTACACGGCGCCAAGGGGCCAGGTGGTGGGTGTGACCCCCGCCTACTGGAATTTGGAGGATCTGGGTGGAAGATGCTCGACTCCAATTCGAGTAGGCTTGGAGGTCTCGGTCCCGGAACCCGCGTGGCTTTGTCCCTCTGCCAGTACCTTCATGTGTGCGGAGAGTGGTCTCAGCATGGTGGTGGCTGGTCCTGGAGGTCTTCGGCTGCCGGAGCCCTGGTCGGGGCGGGGAGGAAAGCTCAACCCGCTCCCCTCCAAGGGGCTCCGGGAAGGAACACCCAGGCGCGGGGGCAGAAGACTATTAAAATAAATAAATAAATAAAGACAAAATATATCATAGAGCTTCAGGTTAGATAACTGTAGAAATCTCACAGTTAATTGCCAAAGCAATAGCACAGTGGGTAGGGTGCTTGCTTTGCATGCCGCCAACCTGGGGTCTATCCTCAGCTCCACTTATGGTCCTCTGAACCTGCCAGGACTAAGCCCTGAGCACCGCCGGTGTGGGAAGCTTCCTGCCTCTGTGAGGTGCTGATAGGATGGGTTTGAAAGGAAGATGACAGTCTCCCAGCTGGCCCACCACACCACTGGTCACCTCCATTGGCCATCTCCTGCCGGTCACTGGCTCTGAACTCCAAATGATGCTGGGTCTCCCTTGCAGGTATCGACTGGGCACCCAAGAGTGACCGCATTGTTACTTGCGGGGCTGACCGCAATGCCTACGTCTGGAGCCAGAAAGACGGTGTCTGGAAGCCGACCCTGGTGATCCTGAGAATCAACCGTGCAGCTACTTTCGTCAAGTGGTCCCCTCTCGAAAACAAATTTGCAGTGGGGAGCGGGGCCCGGCTCATTTCTGTTTGTTACTTCGAGTCAGAAAATGACTGGTAAGCCACCACACTGTTTCCTTCTAGGCCCCTCCCTTTGGAAGCACTGAATGCTTCCCGAGAGCTTTGTTTATTGTAATCTGAAGCATTCCTCCCTCCCCCCAGTAATTCTTTATTCTGTTCCTTTTTTTCTTTCTTACATGCTCATTCAGTCAAATCTCACATCGTTTCTGTGTTAATATGAAGAGGTGGTTTCCAGTTCTGGAGTCCTAACTTGGCTGGTCTGTCAGATGCTGCTTCTCACTTGGTATCATCCAAGTTGCTCTTTTCTTACTCTGGTTTGAAAGATTCTTAGTGTCCTGAGGCTAATTTGTTTTCTTCCTGCCCACTTAATACATCTAGCTTTCTTTTTCAGTGCTGGGGGAAACCAGGTCCTCTGCTGAGTCACACCCTCAGCCCAATATCTAGGGTTCTTTCAGGTTTATTTGCCACTGAAACTGGTATTGTGACTGTACTGGGGATCGAACCCTGGTTTCCTGCACACAAGACAGACTTCCCAGCCCAGCCGCTAAGCTCTCCAGTGCTGACCCCCCTCCCCCCGTCATACTTTTTGTGTTATTCATTTGTATCTGAGTCAGAAGGATTCATTGGGATTCATTCATAGCATTCTCCTCCAGCTTGCTTTGCTTTTGTTTTTTGGGTCTTTTTTGTTTTTTGGATGGGGGACTTGGGCCCACACCCAGCTCTGCTCAAGGGTCACTCTCGGGGGGAGCCACTGGGGAACCATTTTCAGTGCTGGGGCTTGAACCGGGTTAGCCACATGCAAAGGAAGTAAGTCCCTTAACCCCGTACTAGCTCCCCAGCCTCCTCCTGCTCTCTTTGGTAAGAAATGACACAGTTCTACCTGACACACTTTTGGAAAGGTGGTAAATACCCTTCAGTGTAGAATTGTCATTTCACAGGAATCACTGTATCACTGTATCACTGTCCTCCCATTGGTCATCGATTTGCTTGTGCGGGCCCAGTAACATCTCCATTATGAGACTTGTGTTTGGCATATTGAATACATCACAGGTGGCTTGCCAGGCTTTGCATGTGGGCGAGATACTCTCAGTAGCTTGCCGGGCTTTCTGAGAGGGGCAGAGGAATTGAACCTGGATTGGCCATATCGGCCGCGTGCAAGGCAAACATCCTACCCGCTGGGCTACCACTCCAGCCCTGAACCGATGGTATTTGTATTGGCACAAAAAAATAGCAGAGTACAAATATTCAGTTTAGTATTACTGGTTCCTTCTGCTGCATTATGACAGGTGTATCATATTACTTTGCTTGGTTTTGGTTTTCTGGGCCACACCTGGTAGTATAGGGGGTGGGGGTGTCACTCCTGGGGGAGCCAGAGTTTTATTGAACCTGGTCCTGTTTGGGAAGTGCCCACTCCAGCCCTTCGGGAACCCCCCACCCAGTCCTGTATTGGTATTCATAATTTAGTAAAATCTCAGAAATTCTGGTTTTCTGAAAAGTGAAGGTAAATTTGCCACCAGTTTGAATTAGGAATTTAAGATGTATCTCTTTTTTTTTATATGTAAAGTGATTTCACCACAAAAACCCATTGACTTGCTCTAACAGATGAGAAACAACTTTTCTCAGTTAAGACCTTCTGCCTCTCTGATAATTCACTTTTTATTTTATTTTTTTGGGGTCACATCCGGCAATGCTCAGGGGTTACTCCTGGCTCTGCACTCAGGAATCACTCCTGTAAGTGCTCTAGGACCCAAATGGGTTGCCAGGGATCGAACCTGGATCAGCTGTGTTCAAGGCAAATGCTCTACCTGCTGTACTATTTGCTCTGGCACCCAATTCATGTTTTTATTCATTGAAAATTGAATAATTTGCAGGTGAATTGGAACGCAGAATACAAGTCACTGTCATTGGAACAAGCTTTGAAACAGTATTTCACTTGTCCTGTGTGAATACTCCAAAATGACTTAAAGACACAGGAAGACACAGGGGAATAGTGAGTGGACAGACCTAGAAGCATGTGGTCACAGGTTCAAACCTCCTCTGTTTCACAAGCGCTGAGTCGGGGGGGGGGGGGGGGAGGGGGGAGGTCTGACCCACATAATTAGGTTTCAAACAGCAGTTTGGGAGCAGAACTTGGATTCATTAATCCCAAATAGTAACAGATTCTTAGACATACATAAACTGTCCTTGGAGCTAGAGAATTAGGAGTGAATCTCCATACTAGTGTTTCTTACTTGGGATTTGTCTGGGGGGTGGGGGAGAATTGTGTCATTCTTAGACAGGAAATTGAGCTTACCACCCAAACTTAACCCAAAGTGGAAAAATAATAACCAGACTGCTATTTATAATAAAATTACACATCATCTCAAATCTCAGACACACATAATCTGCAGTCCCAGGAGGCAACACCAGAGTTAATCTGGAAACATCTTGAGCAATGCAACTTGCAGAAAAGTTGCCAGCCTGCTCTGCCCTGATTATCTGCAGGCAGAATGGACAAAGGGGATAAGTTTTCCCCCTCGTCCTTCCCTTTGGCAGGACACCTGCAAGGGCTGTGTGTGCTCCGGACACACATTTGCAGGTATGGTGAGGGTGGTTTCTTGCACAGGGTGAACTGAAATGAACTGTCCTTTGTAGGTGGGTCAGCAAGCACATCAAGAAACCCATTCGCTCCACGGTGCTCAGCTTGGATTGGCATCCCAACAACGTCTTGCTGGCCGCAGGATCGTGTGATTTCAAATGCAGGTGGGAACACGTGAGAATTTATTGGAAGACTGGAACTGTTTATTGTTCAACCAAAATTTTGCAGGGTGGTGGGGAGAGGAGTGCTCTCCTCCCACACAGTGCTCAGGAGGCCCAGGGGCAGCTCCCTGTAATTCTTACCGCCCTGGCCAGTGGTTGGATGTAAAGACTCAAAATCACCGTGTTGCTGCGCCCCACAGACCAGAGGGTTACCTGGGGCTCCCTAGCAGTACTGTGACCTCCAGGGCTACTGCAGCTGGGCTTGGGATCCCCCGGGGCAATACACAGCGATGCTCTGGGAACCGTGTGGTGCTGGGGATCAGATGGGAGTGGACGCATGAGAGGCAGGAGCCGTAACCCCTGCCCTTCTTTTTAACCCCTTGCAGCAAGTTTTTCCAAGATTCCACTTCTTTGCCAGATTCTAAACAACTATGAGTTGTTTAGAAGTAAAAGTAGCTTATGATTTTGCAGAGGAGCTAAAATCTTGCATGTAAATGATCACAATAGAAAAAGGGGGTGGACTTGGCCTTGCAGAGGAGACAGGAACTACCGTCCACACCACTCTCCCTGCCGCCTTAGCTTCAGCATCTTTCTCATCTGGCAAGAGCCTGGGTGAATCTGAAATGCAGAGAACCGCAGGACAGTACATGGCTGACTTCTGTCTGTGCAGTTCCTTTTCTGGTGCCAACTTTTGATTTGTCTTTAGTGTGAAACGAGAAGCACGGCCCTTAGCTAAGAGCTTTAAGGGTCATGTTATTGCTTTCTCAAGTTATTTTGTCAAGAGGATTTTTTTCTCCTTAGCCAAAAAAACAAGCTAATGGTGCTTTACACAGACTGTTCGGTGCCTTGGAGAATGGGATACATCTTCCTTTAGTAGGCTCTGTGGAGTAAGTTCCAGAAAACTGAGCTAATGGTTTATATACACAAATACTCAAGGGATTGACTTGATTTGATGTTTAAATGTGTGCTGGATTTGCGCTGTGGAAATGGGGATACAGTCATGACACGTTTTGGGAGATTAGGTCTTCTGCTAAGAACCAGTATAGCATATGAATTTTTTTTAATATTTCATTGTTTTGTTACTTGTGATATGTTTTCCAGGGTTATTCTAGCTCCCTTGGAAGATAGAACTAGGTGTTATTTAACTATACCAGCAGGCTTATCAGGCCACGTCTCAGTGTATGGCTATATTTCTTGTGTGAATAGTAATTTCCAGCAATAAGCTGCTTTAACTTGTGCCCTACAGGGCGTGGGTCTGTCCCCCGCCAATTTGGAACTGGACAGCAGCCACCTGGATTGAAGGCAACTCACTGTGCCCAGTCGCGATGCCTGCATCTCTCAGAGCCTCCCCACCTATTGTCCTGTGGGCATAAATAAATATACCAGGTTGAACAGGGAGTCTTTTAAGTTCAGGGATTTTGTTTGTTTGTTTGTTGTCCTTTTGCCTCCACACCAGCCCTGCCTCTATTTGTTCAAAAGTTTTTTTAAAGAGAAACAGTACAAAGTAGACATTGCATTGACAGCCCAGAAGGACTGAAACCATAGATTCCTGGCAGTTCCAAGCCCCCCTGCTTCTCCTGTGCATGCAGAAATCCTCACTCCAGCGTCCTAGAGTTCAGGAGACTTACAACAACAGGCAGGGAGTGGCCACCTCCAGCCCAGACTGAACCTGACAGCTGACAGCTCACAACTGCTGGCCCCTCGGCTGTCTCCTGCACGGCCCCTTTCCTTAAATGGATGAGTTGCCATTGGTTTGCTGTCTGATGACAGATTGCTCGCTGCCATTTAACCTTGGGACTCCTGGACTCCTGTGAATAGGCAGAGAAGAGGGGGTGCTCCCAGAGCACGCTCTGCAGTGGACAGAGAAGCAGGAGCCTCTCTGGAGGGAAGGGAGGATTTCTAGTTCGTCACTTCTAGAGTGTGCGTGGTACGGCACAGTGCTCTGATACCTGATGTGTGGGTTGAGTGTGGGTTTTGCCAGACTTGGGTTAACCAGTAGGCGGCCCCAGGAACTTTTCTGTGTCTAGAGAGGTTTGTGTATCTGAACTTGTTCATCCTGTGGACTTATTTATTTTAATTTTTATATATATTTATTTATAGTGATATTTTCACTTCTTTAATTTTTATTTTTAATTTTATTTTAATGAGTCACTGTGAGATACAGTTACAGACTTCCAAACTTTGGTGATTCCGTTTCAGTCATGCAATGTTCAAGTACCCATCCCTCCACCAGTGCCCATTCTCCACCACCAATGTTCCCAGTATCCCTCCCGCCACTCCCACCCCTTTCCACCCGCTGCTTCTTGTGGCAGGCACATTCCCTCTTACTGTCACTCTCCTTTTGGGTGTTACAGTTGGCAATACGTGTCCTAAGTGGCCATCATCATCATATGGACTTTTGTTGTTTTTTGTTGCTGGGATCAAACCCAGGGCCTCATTCATTTGAGGCCCAGCCCAGTTGCCCATCATGGTTTGTATCTTTGTGGTGCAGTCTCTTCTGAAGTAACTGCCTTGGCCTATTTTATATGCAGACATTTGTGTTCATTCTTTCTCTCCCTGCTCCTTCACCACAGAGTATTTTCTGCCTACATAAAAGAAGTGGACGAAAAGCCTGCCAGCACACCCTGGGGCAGCAAGATGCCTTTTGGTCAGATGATGTCAGAGTTTGGTGGCAGTGGCACTGGTGGCTGGGTCCACGGGGTCAGCTTCTCTGCCAGTGGGAGCCGCCTGGCCTGGGTCAGCCATGACAGCACTGTGTCCGTCGCAGATGCCTCTAAAAGCATACAGTAAGTAATCTGCCTTTGTTTGGAGCTAGTGGAGCGGTGGGATCTGCCCAGCTTAACTGGCTATGAGTATAAAATCCCCGTCCAGGAGAAAAAGAAAAAGGCTTCAAACAACAACAAAAAATGGGGACTGGAGGGATAGTCCAGTGGCTTCGGTTGCAAGCAGCATTGCTGGTTTGATCTCTAACTCCATGCATAGTACCCCCCAAAGCACCACCTGAAATGATCCCTGAACACCACTGGCTGTAGCCCCCAAACCAAAACGAAAGACAAAAACCCAAAAAGCTAAACAAAAAAATACAACCCAAGTGGACAATCTAAATGTGTCTATAGCAAGACTAACCTATTATCTCCAGGCCCTGCTAAGGCACACTTATTTTAAAGAGTTAGAACTCAGGGCCAGAGAGATGGTCCAGCAAGGAAGGAGCTTGTCTTTCATGTGGCCGACCCAGGTATAAGCCCAGACACTCCAGATGGTCCCCTGAGCCTGCCAGGAGTGATGGAGTGCAGAGCCAGGGGTTGCCCAGAAGCAAAATAAAGAAATGAATGGATTAGATCTCCTTTGCCAGACACTCCCAAATGGAAACACCCTGGAGTTCTCTCTGAAGGCCTCTGCTTGCTTCCTGGTAAGAGCTGGGCTGGGGAGGCGGCCCTGGGTATGATTCCTGGCACTCAAGAAAAAAAAAAAACCTATAAAAGAAACCAGAAAAACCTCAGTGGTTTGAGCCAGTGTGGCCTCTTGCTCAGAAGTCCTGCGACGAGAGGCCATCACAGAGCCGGGAGACCTGTGCTGATGGTAGCCAGTGAACAGTGGCTCTGGGCATGTGGCCCTTGTAAGCGGAAAAACCTCAGGACCAGCTCCATTGTGCCGCTGTGCCGTGCTTCTTGTGGGAGTGATGTGCCTACCAAGCTCAGGGAGCCCTTTGGTCGCTGAGAGCGTTTGTGTTTGCTCTCTGGGTTGACGGAAGAGAGATAGGAACCCTGCTCCCCTCCAGAATCTTGATTCCTTCCCAAGTCTGTTTCCACTGGCATCTTGGAGCCCCCCTCCACCCCCCCCCCCCCCCCCAGTGGAAACTCTCCTGGCTCGTCCTCTGAGAACCAGTGCCATCAGCTGCCGCACGGTGACTGTTGTGACAGTGCGGAGAGAATCGCTCTCCTAACTGAACTGTGTATCTCTCGTTTCTCTGTTTAGAACAGGCTTCCTACTGGAGCCCCGCTCCCTACTGTAGATGATTCGGTCTTCTAGATTTCCCTCTAGGCACTTAACGTGCATTTAAGATTTGTGTTTGTTTCTGTTTTGTTTGGGGTCACACGGGCAAGGACCCTGTGGTGCTGGGGATTAAACCTGGGACTCCCACATGAACAACAAATGCTCAGCTCTTTGAGCCATCTCTCCAGCCTTTTTAATTTTTTTTTTTGATGTTTGTTTGTTTGGGGGCCACCCCTGGCAGTGCTCAGGACTTCTCCTGGCTCTACGCTCAGGAATTACTCCTGGCAGTGCTCAGGGGGACCGTTTGGGACGCTGGGGATCAAACCCAGGTTGGCCACGTGCAAGGCAAATGCCCTCCATGCTGTACTATGTCTCCAGCCCCTCCCTTTTAAAAAAACTTCCTCCCTCTTCCCTTACTTGTTGTGTGAATGCGGAAAGGAAAGATACCATTCATAAGCGCTTGGTGCTCCCCTGCTTCATTTCGGTTGTGGTTCTTGCTTGGAACTGTATCGCTTTCTTGTGTTTTTTTTTTCCCCTTCGTTTTGTTGTTGTTTATTTGCCAGTGTTCTGGGGGCTGTTCCCAGGGTGTTGGCTTGGGATTTGCCCCTGCAGTGCTCAGGGGGCCACGTAGTTGTAGGGTTGAGCCTCACAGCCTGGGCTGAGCCCTTTGCGTTCTGCCTGGTCCCTGTGCGCCTTTGTGTTTACCTGCCTGCTGAGTGTGCGAATACACGCACACACGGCCCAGGTTGTGTGAGCTTTGTCTTCCTCCTGGTGATCCCTAAGACAGTGCCTACTGGAGGGAAGAGAAGGGATCTTACAAATGTGGCTTCCAACCTCGCCCCCCCACCCCCCACTGCCACAGACAGAGTCCAGGAGTCCCAGTGAGTGCAGGGGAGGAGTGACATCTAATGACATGAGTGACGTGAGCGGATACGCGAGCGGACACTTGAGCTCCAGGAGGTCAGAGAAAGGAGAAGCCGCGTTCCCTGAAGCAGGCCCAGGACTCTTCATGGAGAGGAACAAATTACCACTGAGCGTCAGGCTCTGGGAAAGCTGGAAGAGCAGTGGCAACGGCAGGGGAGTGCGCAGACTCCCTGGTGGCCAGGCTGTAAACCAGTTTGCCCTGAGTGTAATTTTTTATTTATTTTATTATTATTATTATTTTGCTTTTTGGGTCACACCCGGCAATGCACAGGGGTTACTCCTGGCTCTGCACTCAGGAATTACTCCTGGTGGTGCTCAGGGGACCATATGGGATGCTGGGAATCGAACCTGGGTTGGCTCCTTGCGCCGCATGCAAGGCAAACGCCCTACCCGCTGTGCTATCGCTCCAGCCCCTGCCGAGTAGTGTATTGGGGGGACCTTGGCAGGGGTGGCACACCAGCTTGAGGCTCACAGTTGTACAGGTTGCCTCAGACTCTCGTGCCGAAATTCCTGAAAGCAGGGGTCACAGGGCACCTGACGGCAGCGTGTGTGCCGCCGGTGGCCCTGTGAGAACGTTCCTTTGTCATCTTCTGTGTCTCTAGAGAAGTGTCAGGGTCGAGTTCATCTCAGTTCAACAAGCGTTCTTGTGTTCAGGGTCTCCACTCTGAAGACGGAGTTCCTGCCCCTCCTGAGTGTGTCATTTGTCTCAGAGAACAGCGTCGTAGCTGCTGTGAGTAACGCTCTTCTGTCCTGGCCCCGCTGTGTCCGGCCCTCCGGAACGAGGACAATGGCTGCTCTGTGCTTTCAAATGAACACAGCTGGCTGTCTCATTTCAGGGCCACGACTGCTGCCCTATGCTCTTTAACTACGATGATCGCGGCTGCTTGAGCTTCGTCTCCAAGCTGGACATCCCCAAACAGAGCATCCAGCGGAACCTGTCCGCCATGGAGCGCTTCCGCAACATGGACAAGAGGGCCACGACCGAGGACCGCAACACCGCCCTGGAGACGCTGCACCAGAACAGCATCACGTACGTGCCACGGTCGCTGGGCCCGGCCTCTGCAGGGAAGGTTGGGTGCCCTCCTCCTCTCTATTTCCTGACACACTTCTTGAGAAACTTCTCCCCTTGGGCCCAGACATCCCTTCAAGAACAAAAAGCATCTGCGTTTGTAGCTTCCCTACCTCAGGCTCTTTCCAGGTGTGACGGACCCCAGGCGTTCTCTCCCCAGAGGTGTGCAGACCCTACTGCAGACCCGAATGGCCTCATAGGGCTTCCTCCTTCCAGAACATTCCCCTCAAAAGTTGATAGAAAGCAAATGTAGGCCTTCTTGAATGTCATGTTCTCTGTAAGGAACGCGGCAGGAATATCGGGTTCAAAAAAGGTGACTCCAGCTGTTACTTCAGCTCTAGATTTCTAATAATGTATGCCAGGAGGAAAGTCATGTAATTAGAGAAACAGAATCTTTTCACATCAAAGCCGAGGCCTTCCTTGATTTATTTTTTATTAGGCCTCTGGATTGTACAAGACAGTAGGACTGTGTTTTTTTTCACCCAAAACTAATTTTTTTTTTTAAGCTAGAGGAGAAATGCACTATAGTCTTGATTTTTTTTTTTTTAATTAAAGGTGTTCAGAATTGGCTACCATAGAATTTTTTCTTTTCAACTAAATCTTTTGTGTTGGGAGACTCACTGTGGTGATGGTGGCAGGAAGCATAATGGAAACCTCGAGGTTTTCTGGGGGAATTATCACATGCAGGTCCTGCTGTTCTCTCTTTTTTCTCCTTTTCCTTTTTTTGTGGTGCTGAAACCCAGGGCCTCACCCATACAAGGCAAGTGCTCTCCACTGACTTAGCTCCACCCCCCAAGCTCAGGTTGTGCTTTTCATCAAGTTCAGTGGAAAGAGAAAGTCAGCTGGAAATGTCATTGCTTCTTGAAAAGTGGAAGCTTGAAGGCAAAGTGACGTTCTCTTTCGATGACTTTCAGAGTTCATCTTCTGCTCCTTGCGGGCTACTTGAGGGTGGAAGTCACTCTCCTTGCCCCTTGGAAATTTGTAGGCTAAAAATAAAACAAATCCTAGGGCGGAGGAGATAGTACAGCAGGGCGGGTGTTTGCCTTGCACATAGCAGACCTCAGTTCCATCCCTGACACCCTGTATGGTCCCCAGAGCCCTGCCAGGCATGATTTCTGAGCACTGAGCCTCAAGTAAAGCCCTGAGCAGCCCTGAGGCCCCCCAAAACAAGCAAACAATGAATAAAACATGCTTGGGACTGGAAAAATAGTACAGCAGGTAGGGCGCCTGCCTTTCACACTGCCCAGCCAGGTTTGATCCCCATTACCTCATAAGGCCTAAGCCCGGCCAGAAGTGGTTCCCGGATGAAGAGCCAGGAGTGAGCCCTGAGCACTGCCGGGTGTGGCCCCCAAACAAAACTAAAACAGATGATTACAAATGACATGCTTACTTTTACTGACACATAGCAAGCTCTCTGCCCCTGAGTAAAGGGTTAACCCACCTTGTTCTGTGGCTCCAGAGGCTGTCTGTGTGGACTGAGTGGAGTAAGGAAGACAGCCTGGGGCCTGTCTGCCCAGAGGGGCTTGAGCACATCCCCCTAAAACGATAGCCACAAGAATTTGCATTTCACATAATTTTCCAGTGTTGTGAAGAATATCTCTTTCACTCTCTTCCAACCACATAATGTCCACACCAGCCTTTGCCCTTGTCCTTTCCCTAGCGGACTAAGTTTTAAACTTTTTCCAAGGAAGAAAATAATGTCTGGACTATGGAATTGATTATTTTTTCTTTCTTCTTCTTTTTTTTTTTTTTTTTTTGCAAGCTAGGTAAATTGGACTCAGACAGATGACTCCATTTCTCTGTTCCTCTCCTTTGCTTGATTGGGATCTTGCAGCCTGACTGGCGGAGATTTATAGTGTCCCGTTAAATGTTCAGGAGAGTTCTTGATGGATCGACTCTGGCTATCTGGGCGAGTGATTTGGGAGTTGTTTTTTTCACAGCCATGGAGTTTCAGTCATGCTTCATCCTGCCTCTGGTTGTAAAAAAATTCTTTTCCTCACCTGATGTTGCTGCCCGCAGTTGGCGTGCGGAATGGCCTGTCCGCTCCAGTCAGCGCAGGTTCATAACTGCCAGGCCGGTCGGTCTGGTTACCCGTCAGTTGGGTCTTTGGGCCTCTGGAATCAAGTGTGTTAGCCTGTTTCCTGACTTGGGTTGCCCGTTGGGAGTAGCAGACAGTTCACTCTTCTCCATTCCCTGCCTGAGGCAAGATGGAGAGCTGTTTCTCTCCCAGACAGACCTTACTCACTGCCGCTTTTCTTGCTCTTTTTTTTTTTCTCTCCAGTCAAGTGTCGATTTACGAAGTGGACAAGCAAGACTGTCGAAAATTTTGCACTACTGGCATTGATGGAGCCATGACCATTTGGGATTTCAAGGTATTCTCCCCCTCCACCTCGGAGCAGATGTGGTGGTGCTCAAACACCCTGTGAGAAAAAGGTTTCTCATTTTTAGACCCAGGTGTCACGTCCAATACACCTGGACGTGGAGGGGGCCAGGAGGGTCAAGTTTCTTTTTCAGTTTTTTTGGCTTTGTGGGTTTGGGGGTCACACCCAAGAGAGTCCCTGGCCTACTGCACACACTAGCTGCTGGGGGCTCCTCCCAAGGTGCTCAGGGAACCATGTGGTACCAGGGATAGAACCTGGGCCTCCCCCACTTTGAAAAGCGTATGCTCAGCCCTGTGCGACAGGCCCTTGGGAGAGATGTTTATGTTTTACAGTAGTTCCTCTAACTGAACAGGAAGGGCTTTATGGCACTGACGAGTTTGAGGGGAAGGGGCCAATGAGACAGGGTCGGTGGTGTTCAGGAACAAGAGGGGTATTGGAGGGTACAAGGACTGCCAGCACTGCAGGAAGAAGGGGGCCTGGAAAGTGGCATTGCCCACTGATGCATCTGACACTCAGCTAGGCGGCACAGTGGGGGAGGTCCGGGGATACGGTAAAGGCCTTGCAGAGACCAAGGTCTGACCAGGAAGATGATCAGGTGCTAGTCCAGAACTGTGGGAGAACCACACTGTAAGGTGGGGCATCCTGGTTCTCTGTGGGGTTCAGGCCGAAGCCAGGCCCCTGGCACAGTGGTGGCAATGTGAAACCCTGCCGTGGCGAGGGTGTGGCTTGGAGGTGCTGTGCTGTCACTCCATCTGGGAAAAGAGAGATGGCTCCGCATATAGGGCAGTTGCTTGCACGTGGCCGCCCAGGAGTGATCCCTGAGCGCAGAGCCAAGAGGAATAACCCCTGAGCACTACTTCAAACAAAACGAAAGGGGGCTGGCCTCCAAGAGGCTTAGACAGCTGGTGAATGAGTGTGGGGACACTGACCGCTCTACCTGCTCCAACTCTTGGGGTGTGAGGGAGACGCAACAGTGGGGTGGGCAGGACAGGATGCCTCCTGTGTACAGCGCTGCAGTGGACTTTCTCTGGGATGGCAGTGGGCCGCATCCCTGTGCTCCTGGCATCCTACTGTGTGGGAAGCCAGTGCCTCCTGGCCGCAGGGGAAGCTTCCTGTCTTCCTCAGGCCCCAGAGCAGCTCTGCCTGCAGTCTCTGCGCCTCAGGCCAAGTCCCTTTCTCTCTGCCCTGCCAAGCTAGGAAAGTGCTTTTCTCTTGGAGCCCGAGGAACTCCGGTCCCTGCTCTGTGGCCAGCGGACAATGCTGATGCCTCAGTGCCTGCCCTTGCTGGCACCACACAGGCCCTCTCCTCTCCCGGGGAGCCAGGGATGGGGGTGGGCCCGGGGCCTGAGCAAGTGCACGTATGCCGGCGCTGTCTCAGTACAGTGGTTATGGGGGTGTAGAGGCTGCTGTACAGACCCCCGGGATGGCCTGGGCAAAGACCCTGCTGGACCCTTGGTAACAATCACTGTTCTTCCTGTCTCTCTCAAGACCTTAGAGTCTTCGGTCCAGGGCCTTCGGATAATGTGAACTGCGGGAGCATCCCGGATCAGCCCATTTGCATGCTGGCGCGGGAGAGCCAGCGCCCGAGACACTGCAGAAGCCGCGCAAATCGTGTGTGTTTTTGTTTGAATTTCATTGGTGAAAGTGTTTTTTTAAAAAAACAGCAATGATTTGGGTTGTTTTCGTTTGTTGTTTTTGCAATTTCATTCCATTCTTGACCAAAGCTTCTCTTTAAGTAGTTTATTACAAAAAGTGTCACACTAACTTAAAGGAAAGGGTGGGGAGATCTGTGAAATCTGCCTAAAAAATAAAAAAAATTAAAAAATTAAAAACCCTGAATGTGGTTTGGGTTCTGTTCCATAGAATCTCTCCTTTTTTTTTTTTTTTTAACAACAGGAAGACCTGGGTAAATTCTTTTTAGTTTCTTAAGATGGGCCATTCTGGGGCTGGAGCAATAGCACAGCGGGTAGGGCGTTTGCCTTGCACGCGGCCAACCCGGGTTCGATTCCCAGCATCCCATATGGTCCCCTGAGCACCGCCAGGGGTAATTCCTGAGCACAGAGCCAGGAGGAATCCCTGTGCACTGCCGGGTGTGACCCAAAAAGCAAAAAAAAAAAAAAAAAAAATGGGCCATTCTGTGTCAGGGAACGACTCATGGGAGCACGACATACAGAAGGCTGGAACCTGGGTTCAGTTCTCAGCACTGCAGGGTTCCCCAAGCACAGAACTGGGAGTCACCCCTGAGCACTGCTAGATGTGACCCAAAAAACCCAAACCAGCTGCCTCACCATGGCTGCCACAGGCCAGCCAGCTCTGCATGAGTCCATGGAGAAACCTGGCTCCTGGCTGGTGTCCTCGAGGACGGCACGCCACAAGGGCACACGCCAAGGGCAAGTGTGAGGAACATGCAATGAGAGGGAACCCGAGCACAGTGGCCCCCAGGTGGTTGTCCCCAAACTTGTACTCTCTGAGACTGAGGCACAAGCACCGGGCCACATGGCGGGGCGGTTCCTGATCCCAGTCAGACGAGTCTGGCCATCAGACCCAGCTCCGGAGGCCAGTTACTGGCCATTGGGGCTGGTGGGAGGAAACCCCTCAGGCTTTGAGTTTTATTTCAGGGGTTTGAGGGCCACATCCAACAGTGCTTGAGGGTCATTTCTGGCAGTGCTCAGGAGCCTGGGGAGCACCTTCTCTACTTTCTCTTCCCACCTGGCCTTCACTTCAGGCCTGAACATCTCAGTTGAAGAGGCACAGCCTGTGACTTGGAGGGGAGGGCAGCGGGGTCCACCATTCAGCAGTCCGACCTCTGGAGCAGGCCTGGGATGTGAGTTCTGGGGGGGCACACACACATGCACACGCACACGCACTGATCCCGGTGTGGGCGCTGACGTTCAGTTCACGTTCGGAAAGTTTTCTCTACCTTGTAGCCCAGTGTCCTCTGTCCAGACACCGGAGTGCGGCTGCCATCTTGCGAGCAGGAGGCAGTATCATGGCCATAGTGAAGGGAAAGTTCCAGAAGCTTTCTGACCTAGAGTAACCAGGCTACCCTGGGAGTCAGCCTGGAGGTGGGGGTGACCTCAGTCCTTGGAAACCTGAGAAGGCAAGGAAGGGCAAGTTGGACCCCAGGGCACTGGAGGATTCCAGGAAGGAGGAGAAAGTTCTCTAGGCCATGGTGGAATTGTTCCACCACCACCCCCATCCCTCCTCCCCATGAGGGCAGGCCCTCCAGCAGAGCACTGGCCAGCAGGAAGGGGTTGATGAGAACTTTGGAAACTTCTGGAGCCTTGTTTTCCCAAAGTGGGAAAACACTGTGAGTATCAGGGGGTGCTGTTTATTCTCTAAAAAGATTTCCAGAGGGCATCAATTTTTCTGAAAAGGCCAAGTACCGCTGAGAACCTCTACCCAGAACATCTGGATTTGCCAGGCTAGGGGAGCCCCAGAGACAGCCACCAGCCATCCTCCATCCCCCGCGTGTCTCTTGGATCCAGGAAAGCTCCGAGGTGACAACGAATTACAGCTGAGCACTGTCCAGTGCTCCCTGCATTTGGCCACCTGAAGGGGAGATGTCACTGTAATCAGAACTGGCACTTGCCCAGTGGTGGCCACTAATGAGGGAGTTGGCCACCACCTGACTGCAGGGTGGGGCAGGCACAACTGGAGACTCACGGGCATCCAGGCTGCCAGACTGTACCCCATGGAGCTCCCTGTGGCTCTACCTACCTGCCCACAGGTCACATCTCCGACAATGGACAGAGATCCCAGGACCCCAGGACCCCAGCTGCGGTGTCTAAAGGAGTGAAAGGGACTGGGAGGAAGGGGCGGCTCTGTGCCCCTTCAGGGGCCAGTACCCCAGTTCTGCGGTGAGAACACAGCGAACCGGGTCCCGGGCCTGCTGGCCCCCATCACTACCACCACCAGCCCAGCACCCGGAGGACAGACAGATGTCACCGGCGTGGGGCCTGGTCTCTGCCCGGCCCAGGTGCTGCCCAGGTCGTCTCCTCTACTGGGACTCAGTTTCCCGGGCCACCTGAGCGCGAGGGGCGTCGCGGGCGATTTCTGGGCTCCCTCCCCGGGGTTCAGACGTGACAACACCCCCTCCAGCCCGGTGGGGAGCCCAGGGTCCCGCCCCACCCGCAAGGCCCCGCCCCCGCCCGCAAGGCCCCGCCCCCGCCCACGAGGAAGTGGCTGCGGGCGGCGCGGGGCTCAGAGCCGGGTCGGCGCGTCGACTGCCCAGAGTCCGCGACCGGGGCACCCCGAGGTGAGGGGGGGCTTCCCGGAGCTGGGGGGCCAGGGCGGGGCCGGCCGGGGTGAGGGGCTGAAGAGGGGTGAGAAGGTGAGAGGGGCGCCGACTGGGGCCGTCTGGAGACAGGGGGGCGCGGGGAGGGGCGCGTGCAAGCCCGCGCGGCTGCGGGGTTCCCGCCTGGAAACGAGGGGGCGCGGGCTGGACTTTCGGAAGTGAAACGCGGGGGTCCTGAGGGTGGGCGCCGCCCCGGGGTGAGGGGGCCCGGGGCAGCCTCGCGCGTCCCCGGCCCTCCGGCAGGCGCCCCGCCCCGCCCTCGGCCCCAGCCGTCCCCTGCACTCTGCCCAGCGCTCGGGGTCCCCCGTTATTTGGGGCGGAGAGGGCCCCACGCCCTGTCACTTCCCCTCCCTCCTCCAGCCTTCCGGGTTGCTCCGCCGGGAAATGAGCTGGCGCCCCCGCCCCGCCCTTGCCCCCTCCCGGCCGCCCTGCGCCCCCCTCCGGCCGCCCCTCCCGGCCCCCCTGCGCCCCTCTGGGGTCTCCCTACGTCCCTTCCTGGCCCTCCTGCTCCCCTCCCCGCCCGCTCCCTCCCCCCACCCCCTCCGCCCCGGGGCTGGTCTGGGCAGGTCCGGGGGAGTGATGGGGCCAGTAGGGTCAGTGCCGCCCGCAGGGCAGGGCCGAGCCCGGACCGGACAGTGAAACGGACAGTGAAACGGCGATCCTGAGCCCGATAGTAGCAGAGCAGCCCGCGGCCCTGGTCTCTGCCCCTGTCCCCTCTGTCCCATCCAGCCCTCCGCACCCCCTGCCCGAGGAGCCTTTGAGGTTTGGGGGACCCAGGGAAGAGCATCGCCCTTCACCTATCAACTCTCCCGGAGGCGGGTGTGGAGGGGGCGAGGCCCTTGGCCCAATGCCCGGCAGTCTTAAGTGCTGTCACTGTCTTGTCACAGTCCCCGGGCCCGCCCGTGTGCATCCAGGGTTGGGGAGCTGAGTGTGCCCCACAGAAACCTCTGTCTCTGGTGCAACATCAAAGTCGAAAAAGAGCCTCCAGACCACAGTCCTCAGGGGGCTGTTGTTGGGGGTGGCCCAGATGGCCCCTGGGGGCCCTGCGGGTGCGCCCTCAGCACTGCCTGGCTGTTTGTGCATTCTGGGTCTTTCCACCCGTCTCCACTATAGAAAGGGTTATTATGAGCTTGTTTGCTTAAAAAAAGAAAGAAAGAAAGTTAGTGACTAGTTTCTTAGCCTGATGGAAGTGTCCAGAGACAGACTGAACCTTTCCAATTCCTGTCCCTGGCCTGAGGCCATCCTGCCCTACCCAGCGGTTAACAGTGTCCAAGCCAGCAAGGCCCCTGAGCTCTGGCCCAGCAGGAGCTGGGTGGGGGTCTTCAGTGGGTGCCCCCTGGGGCTCTGCACCCGGGTTTCTCGCCTTGGCTGGGCGGAGTTTGACTTCCCCGACAGGAAGTTGAGTAACCACTTAGCGCTGGTGTGCAACCGCTCGTGGGCAGCTCCCTGAGCTGCACTGTGTGCACTGTGGGGGTGGGGGGGGACTTCCCTGAGCACCGCGCCCCACAAGTACAGCCCAAACCAGGTTCCCACACCGCGGACTGCAGGAGCTTCGTGGAGCCTCTTGTAAGACACATGTCGGGGACACCAGGAGCCGCTGGCTGGTGGAGAGACGCCCATCTGAGCCTAGCACCACTGAACGGAGTCGCCAGGGCCACCCCCAGGGCCAGGCTTTGCTGGGGTCCTGCTGGGGCTGGGACTGTGTCCCCACAGTGTCCTGAGGACACGGAAGGAACAGTGCCTGCTATGGGTGGGGCCTCCCAAAGTAAACATGGCAAGCAGAGGGAGGCAGAATCTGCCACACTCAGACCCAGGCTGTGTCCACCCCCCTGCCCAGCACAGGGTCTCTGGCACCCTGCATATAAACCACCCTCCAGCTTGGACCTGTCACCCCCACCCCTCTGATCCCCGCCCTGAGCACTGTGTGACTCCCAGGGAACTGCGTATGTGTATATGGGGGGCGGGGGTTCGATGGTGGTTCATGCTTTCCCACCTCACTGTTTGTGGGCTGAGGGCCCTAGCCAGCAGGACAGGACATGGGCTCCACCTGCTTTTTTCTCCTTGGGTGTCCCCCGCCCCACTCACTGAGGCAGGCGGAGGTTTACCTGGCAGGGTCACAGACAGCAGAAATCACTTCCCCATTCCTTGGCTGCAGGAGCTGGAGCCCTGGAGAAACCTGGGGGTGGGGTGGGGGGAGGGGGACTGTGACTCACTTCCTCCTTTGGTGGGGGTGAGGGAGGAAGTGAGGGAGGGGGGGTGAGAGGTGGGGGAGAGGGAGGTGAAGGCTGTGGTCTGCTGCCCTCTGGCTCTACTCTGGAAGTTGCTAGAAGGGGGAGAAAGCTGTTCTTTCCCAGGGTAGCTCCTGACTCTGCCCAGAGTGTGGGCCACCC